ATAAACTAAAAAACTTAAAGAATGGCAAAGCTTTATATAGAAAAAGGTCGTCCTCCTCCTACCGAAATCTAGTTATGTTGGGATTTTATATGCCTGATCCACTCGCTATTATTATCTCAGTTTGTATTGTCTTAGGGTTTGAAATTCTTACTAAGTATAACCTGAGCCGGATTCGGGATTTAAAGCTTATGGGTTCACCTTAAGTAAATATACAATAAGTAAATGGGTTCACAATCAAATATTTATAGATATTTAGTAAATTTTTTAATACATATTCAGGGTATATACAAAAGTTACTGGATTCACGGGAACTCATATTCAAGAGGATGGATCCGCCCCTGAGTATAACTAGTATTAGTACCTGCACGATGCGCGAACACAGATCATGTCAAATTGTGATGTAGGTTGTTTGAATCATATGTGAATAACCCTAAAATATAAATCTCTTAGATAAAAATTATACAACATTAGATATTAATTATAAAGCAAGATATGAAATTATTGTGACAGTCTCGTAGTAGACAACCTATTTTTTTAAATATTTATAGTAATCTAACCCCTTAATTTTAGTACTTGCATTTCAATTCGCTGTCAATATTAAATAATACTAAACATGTCATGTTTTGATTTGTCTTCTTTAAGCATATTAGATAATATTGTTTTAACAAAATTCTTACTATCACTTTATTTTTATCAGAAAGTCAAATATGTCTTATTTATCATATTATTTTTACACAAATTTTTTTTTTGTTCTTTATTTATAGTTATTGTATTATTTATTATTTAATATTATTATACTATCATATAATTTTTTATTAGCTTAATAATTAAATTAATTTCTTGCTTATTATTCTTTTAATAGTCATTAATAAATATAAATATTTTATTCTTGAAATTTGGTATATTTTTATGCTTGTAACCTCTTATTCAGAATTTTTTAATCATTTAAATTTATTAGTAATATTTTAAAATATAATTAATTATTTAATTTATTTATTTTTAAATTAATTTAAAAGTATAAGTATCCTCACACTACCTCCGTTTTTTTTATACATCTCTTCCTTACTATAAATTTTAATTAGTTTTTATATTAAAGTTTTGCCTATAACCAAAATAATATCATATTTTATTTTAAATTGTAACTTTGAATTAGTATAAAATATTAATACATAAGTTATTTGATTATTATGTTCCAAATGTGTTGAGTTCTCTTATAATTATTTTTGTATTAGATGTAGTTAAATTTTCTTTCTTTTTTAGCTTTAATATACAAATTTAATTTTTAATTTTAATTAATAAAATTACCTATATTAGAAATTAATTTTGTATTTTTAAAATTTTATTTGATCATAAAAAAATATTTCTTAATTATTTGAACACATTATATTTGAATATTGTAGTAATATTTTCATTGTCATATTATTTCCTTACGTAAATTTTCTTTATTTTTTAGTTTTAAGATAAAAATTTAATTTTTAATTTTTATTAGTAAATTACCTATATTAGAAATTTATTTGGTATTCTTAAAATTTTACTTTTTATTATTTTTCATAAATAAGACTTCAATTTAGTGGTATTATCCATAGTTTGAGCATTCTCATCATAGTTTTAAGAACTTTCTAATCTCAAATTCAAATAGTCTTTCCCTTTCATTTATAATAGTAAATTTTTAATATTAACGTAATTTTTTCTTTTTTCTTTTAATCTAATATATAGTCTTATTACGTTTTATGTACCTTTCCATTAACTTGTAACGTTATCTAATATCATTATCAACTAATATTCTTTAATATAATATAGATAAATATATAATTTTTTAATCATAAAATAAATATTTATTTTGTTTTAAAAATATTTTTAAAAAATTATAAGTTATTAAATTTTAATAATATTTTTAAGTATTGTATATTTACCTTATTTTATTTTCTAAACATATGATCTATAAGTATCCTCACATTATCTCTAATTTATTTTTATTATTCAATATTTTTGATTTTTAATTTTATCTATTAGACTTGAATTAAGTGGACTTATCCATATTATGACTTTTCTTATCACAATATAAAAAAAATTCTCATCTCAAATTTAAATTAGTTTTAATCTTTTCTCTATGATAAAAAATCTGAATTTTTATTTTTTCTCTATTTATTCTTTATTTTTGATATTATAATATTTAACTCCTAATATTATTACATTGTCATGTGGATTTTTATTAGCTTGCTTGAATTTAATATCTATTTCTATCACACTCATTCTAATATAATATAGATAAAAATTAAATAAATTTCTCATATCAAATTCAAATAATTGTTATCATTCTATTTTCTAAATTGGACTGCATTTTCAAAAATTTATGTTATGCTTTCAAACTTAAACTAACTGCACTCAATTCAAATATTAATCATACAAAAATATTTTCTTAATTATTTGAACATGTTATATCTAAATGTTGTAGTAATATTTACGTATAAAATATTTGTTTGCTCGATTTAATATTAATATGACTTTATTACTCTTTTTATTAAAATATTTTTTACTAATTATTTAATTTTTTTCTTACCTTATAAATAATTTGTATACTTTATGTAAGATCTTATTTTGCTGCTTGAATTTATTTAATTTTTAAACTCAATAAATCTTTAATATCTTAAGTAAATTTTGTTTTATTTTATATTTTAACTTACTCCAAAATATAAATAGTTATAGGTTATCTCAATTTACGTATTTCTATATTTTTTTTTATCTTTTTCTATTATAGTTTTTTAATTAATTTTCTACCTCCATATTTCTAGCTAATATAGAAGAAAATCTATGAGTAGATCAATATATAGATATAAATACATATATAGATATAAATATAGATACAAATATAAATATAAATATAAATAGATTAGATTTGTCTAAGATTAATTTTGGATTATGTATATTCATTAAACGACTTTCATTAATTATGTTTCCAAAGAATGTGAATTATATCATATTGTTTGAATCAAATTCTAATTACCTTCTTTTTACCTAAGGAAACATACCTAATAAAAGAATCTTATAAAGTTATAAAAGGATTCATATAGTCATCGAATTACTTTCAGTTCATTATTTTACTTTATTACATAATCTGCTATACTTAATATTATCTCATTACGTTTTATTAGCTTGTCACTTGACTTAATATTTTTCTCAATTGCTCTCCTTTTAATATAACATAAATATCTATTTTCTTATTCCTAAAATTTTTTCTAGAAACTTTTTTTCCATTGTTACGTTCATCTTCAAAACTCTAAAGTTATTATAATTAATAAATATTATAAATATCAACAAATTGTCTCTATCCTTCACTTTGTACATTTTTATATGATGTTTTAATTGATTAGTCTCACTTAGAATTTCACCTATCAATATTCAGTGTTAAATTGTGAATTTGAATGTGATCTTTACGATTAAGTTATATATTTTTAATAATTATTATTTTTGTACTACATGCAATAAGCAAATATAGAAGATAATATAGAAGATACAGATGCATACTACCCTCCTTTTAATATAATATAAATAGATTATAATATATTATGGATGAATTTAGTTTTTCTTTTTACTGTAATAAATTTTTTTGTTAACTTTTATTCTACTACTTAGATTAATATTTAAATTTATTAATAATATTATTTAGTATTATTTATTTTTTTTATTTTATTTATTATGTAAATGTAAATTATAAATTTTCATACACTATCTCTGCCCCCTCTTCTTTTATTATTTTTCCTACTATAAATTTTATAAAGTTATTCTATTTAGTATTTAAGTCAATAATATATTAAAAAAATAGAAGAGTATCTGTTCATATTTTTACATCCTGGAAGTTTTCTTTTCATATTCAAAAACTTGGATATGATCCGATTTATATGTTTTTCAATTCAAAAGCTTGAAAAAGAATTGAGTTGATACAGTTTAAGAAAATAAATTAACAGAATAGATATAGATTATTTTTATTCTTACTTGTAGTTATTATTTTTATCTTTTTTAAAATCTTATCAGTAAAGATAAGATAGTAGGTTGTATCTTAGAAAAATATTAACTTTCTTTCCATTAAGATTCAAAAGAATCTTATTTAATATTTTTT